ATGTATTACAATCGATAATTGTCATGTTGTAACTAATAAAAAATAAAGAAAAAAAATTTTTTTGAGGTTCTGATCACATTACACCCAATTCTGCATTCTGATTGGATGGTTAGGGCAAATCGATATAAATCGATATTTTTAACCAAATCGATAGATATTTTTGCCAAAACAAATCGATATTTTCTCTGGTCCCTGAACATGTGACAATTAGTATCACATGATTATAGCACCAATCACTAATCCCTAGTATACATGGCAGATGTTTTTATAATCCACGATCGGTGAAATTTGAAAAAAAGTCATGCTATTACTGTATTTATTAAAACTATAATTCTGTGCACCATACACTATGGCTAGGGTTTGGGGCACGCTTTAAAAATTAGGCATGCCCTTAGGGGCATGCCTTGGGTTAAAGGCATGCCCTTCTATACTTATGTAATAATAGGCAATTATAAATATAAAAACGGTAATTAGTAAGATTAAGATAGAAAAAAAATTAAACCATACTCATATACAGTATATACCCAGAGCTAAGACATGCCACTTATACATACAAATATATTCTTTTTTGACTTTAACTAAACATGTTAGCCAATCAAAATGGCTTTAAATATCACATGATAAGGGCATGCCTTTTGGACTTGAGGCATGCCATGGGCATGCCTTGTGCCCCTGTGCCCTAAACCCTAACTATGGCGCATTTCCTGTTTATGAGCACTAATTATTCCAAAATAATTTTTTTTTTTGTTTTGATTCATACTGATATATTTTTTTTCCAGATGCCCATGTACGTAACAATGTCGTCATTCGGGTTTACATTAGAGTTCATTTTTCTTATAATAAAATTGATCTTTTTATAACCTTTATTCATTAATGCTTTGTAGTTACCATATATGATGGTGTCTTAGTAATGATTGTAGTCGATTTAGAACTAGGTGATAAAATTTACTTAGTCGACTACAAACACTATAAAAATAATATTAAAGCAAAAAAGTACATAAATCAAGATGGACAGACAAATAAAGAAGATAGCACAAAGAAATTATAAAGTCTAGCATGTCAATAAATTGTTTAGAAAATGAAATGTCAACTTACTGATGATTATAATCTTAAAAAGCTTCATGCTGTCGCAAATCATAAACATAATTATTTCTTTGGTCATATTAGATGTCAAAAAGGTTTTCGCGAGATAATTATATAGATTCGCGTATATCAAAACAATAGCTGATAGTAATAATGTTATATAAAAAATACATATATACTTAATTCAGCATTTTATTCTAAAGTATAAGACCTAAGAATTAGGGCTCTAGTCCACAAATTGTTTCTAGTTTATTTTTAACTTAGTTCTTATTAGGTGATCATTTTTATTATCAATTATGATTTATAGATGATTATTATGTACTCCTCCCTTTTGTTTTTTTAATTGATAATTCGCAATCACAAATTTGATTTTTTAAGCATTCACATATTTCGAAATCGCTAACTTTGAAATCTCATTTAAAACTAAGAAACCTTACTTGTTTTTCATTTTCTGGATTATAAATTTTACATTGTTAAAATACTGTTTAAAAATACTACTTATTTTAAGAAATATTCCATTCTAAACCTCATAAATAGAAGTATTTAAGCTACGTAAATGGCCGGATAAAATCCCCTTTGATAGTAGACCCACAATATACTATACCCGGGTGCAAATTACAGGATCTTCTTTAATTAAAGGTGGTTCTTTTTAAAACTTTAGACTACCTGTTATAAACGCAGAGTGTATATGCACTTCAAATTTTTACACTATATGATAGAAGCTCAGTCATATACTATATTCGGGTCTATAAAGAATTTTGTAAATTGGTGGAATGTAACAGACACGGGTCTTGTATCCGGCCATTTACGATATTCATCTCTTATTCAGTGAAAAAAATTCAAAGTCAAAATCTGGTGCGCAAAGCTCGCTACAGTACTGTAGAACAGGGTTAACTATATAGCGCACATCATTTTAAAATAAATATTAAAAAGTTACGAAATTTTTATGGGCGGAATGCACATGAACATATCAAATTTTTTTTCACTTAATTCTTACTTGTTTTAGTTTGAGCATATCTCTTATTTAAGCTATTCAATTCTCATTTATTTTTTGCATATAAAGTTTATTTAGCTTGTGAATAAAAAAATATACAAGAATTTAATCTGGCACACTATTCTGGATTATTCTAGGTGTGGTATTAAATGCAATGTTATATGATATATCTTGAATTTGCTAATTGATTCAACTCTTCGGGTCACCGATTAGCAATAACTATAATAGATGTTATATGGGTCACCGAGGTGACTCTTATACGAGTACAACCTCTAGTGCAAACATGTAAGTGATTAATTTGTACATAGCTAATGTGTCTAAAGAATTTCATCAAGGAAAGATGTATCTAAAACAATAAGACTTCATAAACGATTTGCAATCCCTTAAATTACATTGATTCTTATAAACTAGTTATATTCAGATTTTATTCAGGTAATAACTATTCTATGTATATAAACACCTGTTCCTATTACATTTGTATTGATTAATGTTACTTCATTTATATGTATATAAGATTGTTCATATTATAATGCTTTTATGCATTCACAACTTTTGACAGACTAGTTCGAAGAATTGTTCAGGTTTAAAGAAAAGATTCAACCGCCTTACATGTAATTCCAAGAACAAAGGGAAATCTTAAGAACTTAATATTCGTTCTTATTCGGGAATTTTGAATTAAAAAAGATAATATTTCAAAATATTGGAATTCAGTTTCCCTATAATATTAAGTATTAATAGTTGAAACATAATATAAAATTAATTAAAATTTCCTGTTCTTATGTGAATTGCTAATTAAGATTCAATCTATTCTGCAATAAAATTAGTTTTATTGCTAAAAAACTATACTAAATCTATATACTAAGTAAAATTATAAAAAATTTGATTCGACGTACAGTATAATATATATATTTTAAACTTGAAATAATAAAAATTTTTGATTTTAATTGTTAAAAATTTGTAATTTTTTTAAAATTCATTGATTTAACTAATAATATTGATATCAAATAACAACGTGAAAACACCAAAGATCTTATTGCTAAAAGTTTTAACAGTTAAAAAAATTGCCACAAGTTTTTCAACTATATTCTTAAAAAGTTATGCCAACCTCTACCAGGGCAACTTAGCGGTGGTAGTTGTATGACTTAAAAATCATTATTTAATAAATTATATTATAAGATATACTATTAGGTAGCATAATTAAAAACAAATAAAATTAAATTTATACTTAAATTAGGGTATACTTACTATTTACTGTAAATCAAAAAAAATTTGCGAAAAGTAGCAGATATTGTTAGATTATAAATATAATTTGATATAAATTATGTTTAAAAAAATTGATTTTACGGTGGTCTAATTAATAAATATGCAAAAAGGTAATGTATATTATTAAATTATAAATGCAGTATAATTTAATATAAAAACCAATAATAATGTATTTTAAAGTAAAAAAATTAGGGTTACGTATACTCACTGTGTATGACTACGTAATCGATAAATATACAAAAAAGGTAATGCATATTATTAATAAGTTATAAATACGTATAATTTGGTATATATATAACTATATGTTTAAAAAATTGTGATATTTACGTTTTACTAATTGATAAATATGCAAAAAAAGGTAATGTATATTATATATTAAGTTATGAATATAATTTGATATAACTATATGTTTAAAAAATTGTGATATTTACGGTGGACTAATTGATAAATATGCAAAAAAGGTAATGTATGTTATATATTAATAAGTTATGAATATAATTTGATATAACTATATGTTTAAAAAATTGATATTTACGGTCGACTAATTGATAAATTTGCAAAAAAAAAGGTAGTGTATATTATTATTAAGTTATATAAATATAATATAAAAACAATATATTAATATATATTTTAAAATATAAAAATTAGAGTTATACTCACTGTGTGTGACTAATTGATAAATATGCAAAAAAGGTATATATTAAGTTATATACGTATAAATATAATTTGATATAACTATATGTTTAAAAAATTGTGATATTTACGTTTTACTAGTTGATAAATTTGCAAAAAAGGTAGTGTACATTATTAAGTTATAAATATAAAACTATATAATATGATATATGTATTTTAAAATTAAAAAATTAAGGTTGTACTCACGGTATACTGAAAAATTTGCGAAAAGTAGCGGATATTATTAGATAAATATAATTTGATATGATAAAAACTATATGTATTTAAAATAAAATAAAATTGGGTTATACTTACTCACTAATAAATAAGTTTTGAAAACGACAATAATATTATTAGATTATAAGGATATAAAAACATAATATATCTTTAAAAAAATTAACTGATATTTACACACTAAATTGATAATTTGCAGAAAAATGAAAGATGCAATTAAAGCAAATATAATAAGGATTAACATTATAAAAAGATATATATATATTTAGAAATGGATATGATAATAATTTATGAAGATATATAAACACATACTCTAATAATCCGAGAGAAGAATAAACGAAATTTCAGGTTAAATAAAATATCTAAGTGAATCAGAGACATTTAAATTAAGGATGAAACTATAAGAATATACCTGCAATGACCGAGTAAGCAACAATAATGAGAAGCAAAGTAACGGTTAAATAGGCTTTCATCAACATTTTGGCAAGATTTTTTTTTTTTTTTTTTTTACAAATTTGACAATATAATAAGACTATTAGTTTAATGAACTTATGTCGATTGAAAAAAAAAAAAAAAGTAGAGAAAAATTGTGTATTTATAATTTTTAAAAAAACTCGATTCTATTAGCAAAGGATATTTTTAAGCATAATTCACATTGAATTATTTACCACTTAAAATTTTAATAAGCCTCAACTCCTGAACGTCTATATTATAATAAAATGGTATCAAGGAGAAAATATGTTATTATTCAGTACTCATTAAAAAACAATTATGGATTGTTTTCTATAATTAACGATGACTTCATTATAATTAGTTTCTCTAGTCAATATAAGAGTAAAGGATATATATAAAAAGAACTTAGACTATTTCTATAATTTTCAATAATTAAGCTGTTGTAATTTTGAATTTTCGGGACTTGCATACCATTGGGTCAGAGAATTTTCATATATTAACGTTAGACACTATATATTATTATATTTAAAATAGCATTGAATATATTATTTGATTTGCTATCTGCGAAGAAGATAATGTTATTGTACTCAGAGGGACATGATAAAAAGGTACAATGTAGGGATAAAGTTATATGAAAATAAGGTTAATGTTAATTTTTCATGGAGATCTGGGGAACCGTTAAGGCAGGTGCCATCACGAATTTAAATAAAAATTATTAATGTTAAGGTTTAAGGTCAGATTAAGCAAGGCTTGTATGGGTTATGGTTGGATCCTTATAATGTGAATCGTCTTTCCGACATTTTTTATTAATGCGCCAAGATAGGTTTAACATTCATTTGTCTCATTTTTTACTTTTTTGTTTTTTTTTTGTTCGTTCGTGTAAGCAAAAAATTGGCGATTTTGATTGGTCGCATGCAACAGAAAATCTCGTGACGCACCTGGCTTTAACGGTAATAATTTATAAAATCAAGTGCGAAAATTTAAGATTTAATTAATCGTGGCTAAAATTCAATAAAAGCTTACTCCTTAACGTTAATATTTCTGCATAAAATTTTAATAATAATAAAAAAAAGTTTGACACTTTCTGTATTTTATTTTATTTTGATTATTAATGTATGTATATATGTATATACCTGCATAAATACAATGAGTTTAAAGGTCTCGGATGATACCACAGGCAACAAATCTTATATTATGATTAGAAAATCGATTTACTTTAATTATTATGCCTTATTTTTATCAATCATCTATAGTATCATCATACAGATAACGACAAGCCTTACAAATTCTATATTAATTACCGTAATACATTCGTAATGATCCCTTAAAATTTCTTCATAAACTAAGCCTTTATTCAACGGTACAAGATGTGACTATAATTACGTTAATATGGCATCATTTTTTACAAGAATGTCTAAGTCTGGTCGTTTAGATTACCTTATGTTTGGAATTTAAGTCATTAATGATATTTAACTCCTTTTTTAAAAAATTTCATTTTGCGAGAGTAATTTGCGCAAAATTTTCTTGACAATTGTACTGATTAACCCGTCTCAAAAGTTCAACTCGGGTCACCCGGACTATAGATGCCGAGAATACTCATGATAAAACTTGATAAAAAACCGGGAAAACCAGTAAAGCGATAAGATTAATTATAAAAAAAATTATTTGAGCATTCTTTTTGTAATTAATTAATATAGGCATTTTTTTAACACTTGTTGCATAGTTTTTTTTTAAAGATATTATTATCGTTCTCATTTCTAAACAATGTTCGATCCTTCAATATAATTAAAAATAACAAAGTTTGCTATGTCTTTGATATTTAGTTTCGTTCAGAAACTATATTTATTTGAGCATTACTTTTTTATATTTAATTAATGTGTATTTATTATTTATTATTTATTATATAGTTTTTCTAAAGTTAATTATTATTGCTCTCTATTTCTAAGACTATGTCAACAATATTTGATACTTCATAGTTCATGTTTCCACGGCCTTTGCTTGATGCTGTTTTAGATTGTAATTTAAAATTTTCACGAAATGGTTCTATATTATTAAAATTAAAAAAAGGTAAAGTAAGATCTGCTATGTCTTCGGCATTTAGTTTTGTTCCAGAAACCATAAATATATCAGAACTTGTTGAAGTTAAAACAGAAGTAGGCATATTTTGATTAATAATATAAGACTCATGATTGTCAAATATATCATTAGTGCTAATTATATCAGCTTCCGAAGACAAATCAATTGGAATTGTTGTCATATTAGCACATGCCCGTAATTCCTCTTCTGCTAAATCTTTTCTGTAATATTCAAGTTCTTTTCGAATTTCAGAAAGCCAATATATCCGTAATTTGGACATTGATTCAATATGTTTAATTGTAAGTCGATTTCTTCGATCTCCATAAAACTATTTTAAAATGGAGAAATTTCATTCACATGCTGCTTGTGATGGCACAATCGAAAACATTTTAATTGCCAAATCTTCTAAATATGACTAGTAGTTTATATTATATGTTAACCACCATATAAGTGGAAATTCACTTTGAGAATTAAACTCTACTTTGTAAGAATCTTCATTACAAATAAACTTGCAAAATTCAATTAATAAATCAATGCACTCAGCTTCATCATATCCAAGAGCTTTCCAATAGTTACCAGCTATAAGACTTGCTAAATGAAATGTTTGATCTTTAAAACCGTATCCACGATATAATGGATGTAAACAATAACTTAAAAGATATGCTTCATGGTTAAGCTCTTCATATTGAACATTATAAATTTTTGTTATTTGTAATTTAAATAGATTTACTTCCAGAATCTGATAAATTGCTGCAGCCAGTTTTAATATATTAATATAGCAATCTGCCAATGTTGCAGTTCAAGCTTCAAGTCTTTCAACGCATATTTTAATTGGTTGTATAATTTGATTAATATAGTGGCAATTTATAAAAAAACTCTCATTATTAATTATATTCTTTACAGGTTCATTCATTAATGTATATTCATATTAGTTTGAATCCAATTAAATACAGGTCGTGGGTGTAATAGTGAATCAGTTATATTCCACAAAAAGCACCATCTCATTTTTGTATAAGTATGTAATCCACCTCCCTTAATTTTCATTGCATGAACTCTATCATCAATTAGCCGATTAGGTAAAATAAGACTTATTAAAAAATCTTGTTATATGACTAGAAGTTTCTATAAATGTTTTAACTTGAGCAATTTTATTAAAATCTTCTGCAATCAAATTAATTAAATGGGCAATGCATCTAAGATCTAAAATATGTGGATAATCATGATTTGTAATTCTGCAGGCAACTCTGCGGTTACTTCCAGAATCTGTTACGATTGCAGCAAATTTTTCAAGGCCAATTAAAGTTATAATTGTATTAATTTCAGATGCTAAAAATTTTCCAGTATTTGATCTGTTAAAATAATCTTTTAGTGCTATTAAATATTCTTTACGATCAACTGTAGTAATAATATAATTATATATAGATGAGCCTTGAGGAGAAGACCACCCATCTAATGTTAAAGTTAAATTATCACTTTTTTCAAGAATTTTAGAAACTTCTTTATTGACTTTTATTATTTCTTCATCAAGAATTCGACCTAATAATGTTGTCCATCCAGGTGGGTAATAAGCAGGGTTAAGTTGTATAAATAGATCTTGCATAAACGGGTTATCAATAATTTCAAAAGAAATACCACACCCAACCCAAGCTTTTAATACAGCATGATCAAGTGAATTTTGATGACTTGTAGAAAGAGAATCTAAATGATTTGTATTAACTAAACATGTTGATATTTGACATTTTGTTTTTGAAGTTCTTTGATAATTATTGTCTCGATTTTCAATTTTATCTTGCCAATATTTTTTTTTGTCTTGTAGGCAATTAGAACATTCATTGGCTAAATGTAATTCCATTGTGCTTGGTACTCCCTTTGCCAATGTTGAGAACAATAGTTGCATTGAACAGAATAGTATTTTCCATTTTTTTCACCGACATTATAGGCATCCCATATTTCTCCTCGAGGCTGACCACCAGATTTTTTTTTAATTGAAGAGACTGAACAATCACTAGAAGCAGTTGAATTATTATCAATATTATTCGACATATCAAGATAAGTAAAGAATCGTTAAATTATTTGTTTTGACGTTTTACAATAATTTGACTTTTATGCAATTTGACTTTTATGCAATTTGACTTTTACGTAATTTTGACTTTTATGTAATCTTGACTTTTATGTAATCTTGACTTTTACGTAATTGATAATAGTGGTAGTTCAATTATTTTAGTTAATATATTTAACTATAGTTATAACTAGTTTTATCGGTTTTATTTTATCAGTTTAGTATATTAAAATCAGTTTATCAGTTTTATCATGTGATAAAACCTCATACATAATGCTGATAAAACGTTTTCTCGGCATCTATAATCCGGACACAGTAATGAAATTCCAGCACGGCTTTAGCAGTTTGGTTGGTCTCAGGTCACGTTATCAGTTAATTTCTATTAATCTGATTGATCTGATTGGCTGGGTTCATACGATTCAAGATTTTGAGAATTTTGAGAACGGCCAATAATTCAAAATCAAGTAATGTGGCCCGAATTATGAAATTTAATTCTTATACGGTTTATACGGTTAAATCCAAATTTTTACATCATCCAAAAAAAAAATCGGTATTCCTGACCAATTGGGTGGTGTGCATTTCGCCGACAATCACTTCACCGACAGCTTAGTTCACCGACAATTAATTCATAGACAAGTTCAATTATTTCACCAACAGCATTTCACCGACAATGTAATTCTGGTCATTGTTGTTAGTGTCAGTTAGAATTAGAGTTTAGGTTAGTGTAATTTATAAAAAATACTTGTTGGTGAAATGAGTGGTCAGTGAAATAATTGTCAGTGAAATAAACTTGTCTGTGAATTAATTGTCAGTGAACTAAGCTGTCTGTGAAGTGATTGTTGGTGAAATAATACGTATTCGACCAATTTTATCATTATAATCGAGTCAACC